AACAGCGGCCAAAAAAAGTGGTTCGATATCAGTTTCGTACGTTAAATTAGAGCGCATCGCATAACACGAGACAAAAACACAAATGCACAAAGAAAGAGAGGGAGGGAAGGGAAGGGAAAATTCCCCTCAATAACAATGGAATCGGATATGGTCATAAAAATCAAACAACACGTTGCATATCGCAGCTACGAATTATAATTTGCAGTATTGTCTCTCTCATTGTTGTTCGAACCAGAGAGACCACAGTTTTGATTATCTCAATAGCATCTATTAAACATAGAGAGAGAGCCATATATTACATTAAGCTATGGCTAAAAATATGCGATTAAATTCCATGTGCTTGCACATTGCACACACTGAAAATAGCACCCATGGCTAATTCATAATAATCATAATTTTGCAATCGAGAATAATATGGCTACGAAAAATCGCCAATAAACATCTATTTTGGGCAAGTTACATTTCCTCAACGTGGCACTGTGCAATATGCATATGCATATCATCTGGTTTTTGTGTCTTTGTCTTTCGTTTTGGTGATAGCGTAAAAATGAGCAGTAAAAACACAACGATGGTTTTTAATAAGCGCCATCCCAATTTCGAATGCAAACATGTTACCGTTTGTTCCAATTTTGTGAGTCTTTGTTACAATGTGTGTATCCATTGCAGTGCTGGTAGACAATCATCGCTTTGCGCTCGAACAAAAAAACAAACGAAAAAAGAAACGATAAACATATAAGACACAAGCCAAAGAATAAAAGCCAGCCGAGTAAATTGCAATTTACAGTAAACGCTGATGCATAGACAAAAGAGAGACGCGACTATGGGCAGGCATTGTGCTTATGTGTGTTTCTGTTTGTCTATGCAATAACATAAATATTTAAATGATTAAATCTTGCGCGCTTAGAGCACGATAAACAAGATATAAAGTCAACTTGAAACGCTTCTCGTTCGGTGAAAACGATCACGTTTATCACATCAACGTAATTTTTATGACTGCAGTTGATGTTTATTAACGCGATTTTAGGCGGCTGCCGTTGCTGCTGAATCATTTGCATTTGGGTTATTCTCGTTAAAATCACAGCCACAAACTCAAAATCAGCTGAGAAATGTTTCTTCCTTTTTTTGTCTTCATTTTCGTTTCATTCATAGTGGCATACAACACGGTCGAAAATGCCAAGCAATTTGGGATATTGTAATCTCTTGTCATTATTTCAATGAACGAGAGCAAAGTCCACATATGCGAATTACAATGTGTATAAAACATAGCTGGAAACAATAGCAAAATCATATTCAAATTAAATGTTAATAGAATTCGCAGTCACTCAAAATTCGTTTCATTGTCGATTTATGGTGCTCCAAACGATCAACGAAATAGAAAAAATGGTGCAATTTATACTGTGGCTGTGGCTTCTAACACACTGAACTAACAGCGTGAACATTATATAGTTGAACTATAAACGTTCATGTGTTTTACAAAAATGGAATGCTTTTTGTTTCACTTTGTTCGATCATAAACATTTCTTGGCTTTATGGATTTTCATCGGCTGTGAATAGTTCACATCGGCTCTGTGTACACGGTATCGAGGAACAAAACACATAACTGTTTCGATTCGATTCGTTTCGATTTGTTTTGTGCGAACGAAATGGTATTCGGTTGGGAAATTATTATGGATTCGACGTGCAAATAGCACTATTTTGTTCTATGAACAGCGATAGAATTTATTTGTACACTAATAAATGCTTGCTCGTTTCCATTATTATTATCATCAGCAGCCACCCACATTGTGCTCACATTGAATTGCTTCGAAATGACGGTTAATGTACTTCAATGGATCGCCTCGTAATTCGTTATTTCCTCTTGACTGTATCGCAGCGAAGAAAAATTAGTGTGTTGAAAATGTACATAAAGACACCAAAGATTTATTGGTTCGAGGGCATTATAGTGTGGCAATGGCGATTGGGCATGAGCTCAATGTACCAACAATTTTAAGCCGAATTCTATTGATTTTTATTCTATTTGTACCTCAATCCGTAGTTTCACAGTCGAAGTTTCAAGAAGAAGAAAAAAATCCACAAAGAAAATCAACGTGTGCTGCTTTCACAGCGAACAGAATTGGTGCCAGTCGAAAAATATTTTATCCTTAATACCTAAACCAACATACTTTATTTGGCAGAACGTGCCAAGAAAATCCGGCTATTGAAAATCAAGAACTTTTTCATTCACTTCGAAAAGAATGTTCATCAAATACTTTCCAATGCAACATTTTAATAAACTTGTGACAGTCAGCAAAAGAAACGAATAATATATTCTGGTATTTATAGACAAAAAGTGGCATAAAATTTCAATTTAAAGAGTCTTGGAATGTTGTCAACGGGAAAGACATTACGCTGTGCAGAACGAACCGAACATCCTTGTCGTCACAAGAGAGAATGCAGATGATATAAAAAAAATAACATTACTTTTTTTTCTTCTTGCGATTATTGTAAATCGTACAATTTCAGCTTTTTTTGCGCCGAATTCATTTCCATATTGTGTCAATTTATGTGCCAAAAAATGTAAAAGCGTTTGGCATACACAAAGAAATTTTGTGCATTACGTATTTTTTCCATGCGGATTTGAGTTATTTATGTTAAATCGTCATGTAGCTAAAGGCTTTCGAGCTCTTTCGAATAACAGAGCTTTGTTACTCTTATATTGCGTAATAGCAAGCGCATTGAGAGTCCCCTTTCAATTGCTTTTACCGTACCAAGTGAATTTCCTCATTTGTATGTGGTGCATGTCGTTTAACCATAAAATTGAAACCATTTTTTTGTTGTTGTTCGCTTATTCGTCTCCGTTGCATATATTGGATTACACATGGTGCTGCTGTCAATAGCGTGCAAAGTGAAAAGAGACGGATCTCGTCTGAATTTCGGTGGCTTCAATCCATTTCCCGAAAATTGAAATATCGCAAAATTACATGCGACTATATATCTGTACGAAAGGCATATAGGTGTGCTAAGCACTTCACCTGAATTCATATTTTTATGCTAAAATGTAATCACTTTCTTTCCCTTCATTTGATTCGCGTTCAATGGTTTGCAGTATCTGTCAAACCGCAAGCGCTCAACATGTCCAAAAAATTATATTTAAATTTCGACGGCTGCTTTATATATATGTATTTTTTTTTAAATGAGAAACAAAATGAAATGTAGACGAGAAAAAAAATGAGATTTCACTTTAACCGTGTACGAAGAAATTATGGAAATCAAAATTATAATAACAGAAAAATATTTAATAAAAAAAAATCCCAATCAATTTGTTGACAATAAATCACTTCTCGTCTCGCGCATTGTCTTTTCGTCTTAATTTCGATGCTTGTTTGCCGAAAATGTCGAGAGTTGATACTGTTTTTTGTCTTTATGTCTGCACTTATTTCGCGTATTCACACATGTTTAATATTACAAGCAATGTTGATGTAAACAACAACAGCAGCGACAGCAAAAAATGGAAATTTCAAAAAAAAAAAATGAAATAAAATGAAAATAAATGAACAACCGCAAATGAATTGTTATTTTTGTTCGGTGTAATGTGGTTCTTATGGCATCATTCGCACTTTTTCTTGTTCCTTATTCGATGCGCATATTTTGTTCATTTGTCATGTAATAAATAATCATAATTGCATACAATCATAAATTAGCTGCAGGACGCTGTCGACGTTTTGGTAAAGTGCATCGCAGGGGCCGACACTTTTAAAGTGTTCACTGCACACTGATTTCGGGTTTTGTTGATCTGTGAATTAAAGAAAAAAACAACCGAAAGAGTCGAAAACACTGAAATTGACGATTTTTGCAAATACACACACAAAACATTCTCTTTCCACTGCAGTTTTAGTTATGAACGCATTTGATTTATCGAACTAAAACAGATTCGCATATAAGAGAAGCTACAGTCTCGCATAATGACAGCCAGAATGAAAGGAAATTGTTGATGTTGAAGTACGTGCATATTGGGCACTTTTGTGTGAATCAATCGAATCAAATATAATATTATGCCCGCTCTTAGTCAGTCAATTTATGGTATTTTGCCTTGAACAAATTCCACAATGCAGCAGATTATATGCATGTGATGAATTAACACTTCACCAGACAAAACTAATCACTTTGATAGGGAAACGAAAATGGAACTTATGCAATCGATATTCGATACACAAGGAAAAATTATTGATTGGGCGTGGAATGAATAAAAATTAATGGATTCGCAATCCGAAATAAAGTGTATGCACAATATGAAATTTATGTTTGTGATTTTCATCGCATTCATCATCATACATTTCTGGATTCGTTGCATTCAAGTTTCATTACGATGGCTAATGCCTTATTGAATTATTATTATGTATTTACTTTCGAGACCATATTTTTAATTGATTTTTTTTTTTCGAAAAAATAAAATAAGGTAAATTCATTCCCATCGGGTTTGGGTCCATGAAATTATTCAATAGCATTCGCAATCATTTTTTATTTAAAAAAAATTTACCAGACGTGGCTCTTTTCTTCTACTAGTTTTCTGACTCCGACTGTAATACAGCCAAATGATGTAAAACCCCCCAAAAACAGATTCATTGGCCGAAAAAATTGATTAATTTTTATTGATTATATTCGAGTGAATTTGTTTTATTCTGTGCAACAAAATGCAGTCAAAATTGATTACCATTTAGGTCCTTTAGGTAAAATGCGGTCATGTACCGCACAGCCTCAGGCAGTGGCTATTCGCAAAATTTGTTGTGCCAAAAATTAATGTAAATAATCGAAGTGAGAGAGAGAGAAGAAAAGAGGTTCAGCGCCAAACAATGCATTGATAAATGACGTTAATTTAAAAGATTTCCTTCATTTTACATAAATATCATGAAAATTGGCAGTATTTTGACCACACAAACCGAGTCAAAATGTCCCAATGAATTATTATGTTGTTTTTAACTGATGGTGTATTTGTTTTTTTTTTTGTATGCAATTTTTTCCAGATCGTTTGAGCAGCAACGATAGCGGCGTTATGCGAAGTGCAACGTGAGTGATATGTCATCGTTAGCCATCATCCAGGCAACAACAAGCAACAATCAACAAGCGATTGCGGGCAATTTTTCATTTGTTTTCATTTCGTAAAGTTCTACGAATCAAGCAACAAAACAATAAAAAAAAAACGACCAAACATAAAATTATTTCGTATTTCATTTTGAAAAACGACGATATAAATAAAAACAGCAAGCATTGCAGACAAGAATCTTTCTAACCGGATTCATCACGAAGGAGAAGATAAACTAAAGGAGACGAAACAAATTTTACCTGTATTGCACCTGAAACTGGCGCTTACGCAAAAAAAACGAATATACACACACATCAGACACGCATTTCAGAAACGCTAAAATAATGAAAAACTAGCAAAGGAAAGAAAACCCAAACGAAAATCAATCAAACCAGTCGATTGTATGAATATAAAATTCTGTCCGTGTTGGTTAAGGTAACCAATATACAAAGAAACATTGATTTAATCAAAAACCATCCAAAATCGAGACATTATCGTTACGAATGCCATACAAAATTTAAAAATCTCTGTCCAGAACAGCGTGTGTTACCTGAATAACAGATACGGTATTTTTGTTTGTTTGATAAAAGGTGTACAAACCGAAAGAAAACACACCGAAACCACATAAATAAAACACCATTTCTAAAAATAACCGAACCAAAAGAAACCGTCAAAATGGCAACCGTCCCTGCTCTCTTGGAAGCTCGATCATATCGTCCATTCAAATCCAGCGAAGAGTATTTATATGCAATGCGTGAAGATTTGGCCGAATGGTTGAACACCATGTATCCAGAGCTACGCATTAATGTGGACAATTTCATGGATCGTCTTGATACCGGCGTCGCATTGTGCAAGGTAAGTTTATTTGTGCATATATTTAATTCAGTCAAGCCAATTAACGTGAAACCGATTATTTTTTTGAACCATGTTCTTTTTTTGGAATCTGCGCAAAAAACAACTATTACAACATTTGACATGTATTTTCTACAAAAAAAAATTATGATTGATCTTGTCGGAAAAAGGCAGACGTAGTAGGCGATTTCTTTGAAATTTGCAGCGACTGTAAATGTTCACGATTCATCAAATTAACGTTAATTGAATGAAATGTAACGCAGGCATTGCGATGCAAAATGCAATAGAATACCATCGTAAAAGTCATAGAGAGAGAATCGTACATCGTTAAAACTCGCACCACACACGGTTTTATTGAGCCCATGATCGTGAACATCCTAATAATGTTTATTTTTGTTCAGATTTTCTTTGTTCATACACAAAACCGAGCACATTACTATTTTGAGGTTTAAATTTTCAAACCAACATCCTAAATTACAATGTGCTCTCATGCATTTCATTATGAATTGCCTGCCATAAGCACAGATTCCTATTGTACTTGCAAGATCATCTCGAAATAAACATTTTTCCTTTGAATTTCAATTTGTGCTCTATCCCCATACACGCACACGGAACGTGTTCGGTTCCGAAAATAATTTGTCGTCGCATACGAATCTATTCAGAGAAATAGAGAGAGAGAGTTGATTGCATTAGAAATATTCTATGGCTAGTGCATTCAACTCCCAAAAATAAAACACTAAGAAAACAATTTAGTCGCTGAGAATAAATCCATTTGTCGACGGGTTCTCGTCATCTTCATCGCAACGTTTGTGTTGTTTCGTTCTTCCCTCGCCCAAACATCCACACCGGCTAATGATGCGTTTTGTTGATTTTGATGGCTGCATATGTCTAACATTCCCAATAGTTCAATTAACTAGTGACTGAAATAGCCGTGTGTCATATGCAACAAATCTAATGGATGTTAGACACGTTTTTCATCTAATCTGTTCGGCAAATTTCGACGAAATTAGTTGGCGAATAAAATTGAAATGGACCCAACTATTCAAATGGAGCACAATGTACATCGAATCGAATGATGACTGAATCATATATAATACGCTTTCGCGTCAACGAATTAAGAAAGAATTCACTGAGATTTAGCACACAAAAATATTAAATTGAAACATTTATGAAACACGATGATTCTAAATACCAAATGAGCTATAATTCAGAAATGTTGGGGTTTTTGAACCAGCTAATTAAGTGAATTTATTTGACGCCACACCATTTTTTGGCATCGCTTCTAACAATTCAACTAGAGAAAAGAGAAGGAAAAAAAAAAGATTCAAAAATCGACCACATCCGTATTTCTCTCCGATGCCAATAAACCGAATTTTACTTTCCGTCTGCAATTAAAAACGCACCGTTTTATGTATTTTTTGTATTGCCTTTCAGTTAACACAAAAATCCCAATAAATTCGATGGGTTACAAAAACATTCAAGATAATCGGTCCAACTACATCAGTTTAACACATGATATGCACTTTTTTCATTGATTGTTGCAGCTGCTCATTTTTTTAATGCACATTTTATGTGGGAATGCAGCCCATTTTTTTTCGCCTGGATAATTTTTCATCCAAAAATACAAATCATTTAATGTTTACAAAGTATCAAATGTACATTGATTTTTATGCGTTTTTTTCGTGATGAAAGAGGCGATTTGACGAAACGACATCTGTGCAGTAGTGTTTGCTTTGCATTAGCTGGAGGCGCTAATGAATGCAGATTTTTATTGGAAAAACAGCGATAAAAACACTAAATCCGACAGTATGTTTAATGTGAATAAATCCCATGTAATGATGTTGTTTTTCGTGTGGAGCGCTCGAAACTACAGAATCTACAAAAAAAAAATGGTGACGTGAAAGCGTTTAGATAAATCTGAACAAAATCCTTTTAAAATGAGTTCCTTTTGAATAAAATCATGCGAGTAAACCATTTCCTTACGAAACTTTTCATTCAATTGGTGCCTAGATTGCTGCCCCATTCTGTGTGCTTAAATGTATTGTGTCGTTTACAGAATCCAAGCGGAAGAAAGACAATTATGTGGAAATTTTGCGTATGAATTCACAAAACGACAGTCAAAACATTGTAAAAGTACCGAATCGCAGCAACCTCTTATCGCTATCGATGTGCTTCAACGTGTCTATCTTTGTGGCAAGTGTGTTTTGAAGAGCGCAGTTTTGGGACGTGGTTCCATTTGTGTGAATTTATGTCAGAGCGCATCACAACCGAGGGGAGAACAAAGCGAAATGCTGATTGAGTTCGATGGATTCTGTTGTTTTTTTTTGTCGTGTGTGTGCCTAATGCATTGGAACCACTTTTATCATAGAAGCAACACAAGCACAATAAACACAAAGCCGACTATAAATACTTACGGTTCAAACCCAAAACGAAAATAAAAGAAAGGTTCACTGAACGCCGTTCGCGCCTTCAAATGGAAAAAATCGTATTTTCTCGATATATTTTTTGGTTTGCATGTGGTTATCCCAACGATGATGCACTGGCACAAAATACAGTTGAAGCGAATAACAATTGGAAAACCACACCGTACGCATTACATGCAATCGCGTGCACAAATCAACGCACATTCTTTTTCTTTTCTTTTTCTGTGATTTTCATTTGGTCGCCGGCATAGACTAGGCTCCCTTACAATTGCACATTCCATTCGCTATTGCTTTTAAATTAAAATTCTTTTCCTTTTATTTCAATCACTTTTCTCTTATCTCGTAACAAAAGGAAAAAATACCGAAGATTTTTTTTTTCTGCAAAACAAACGCAGAAGAAGAGAAAAAAAACGATATTGAGCATTTTAAAAGCATGAATTCTAAATTAAGAACTGGTTTTGAGGCGCTTCCTCGCCATGCGTATGGCATTTCTTGGGACATTTTATTTCGATTTTGTCGCTCATTCCGTTTTTCAACAGTCGGCAACGAAGGCAAACTATATAAACAATTAAATTCTAGCTTCTTTTTTATACCGCCATTGCTTTCAGCCAAATCGAAAAAACAAACCGAATTTAGAAAGTTTTGTCTGTTGTTTTGTACTTTTCTTTTGAAGTGAAGCAAAGAAAAACACACCAGGAGGTTGTTACTTTATGTGACAAATGTGTGTGTGTTTTTGTGCCGCACAATTGATTTATTCCATCTTTTATCAACTTAACATGACAAATATTATCCGCACTCTCGTGGTTTTAGAACTATTGCTCTTGTGTCATTTATTTTCCATTTTCATCATCCTTTTGATCTATTAAAATGACACTTTCAACTAGACAATACTAATGACCTTGTGAAATGCTATTATTTACCTTTAGCGCTCTCTCACACTCCTTCTTTTTATTCTACGAAAAGAAAACACTTTGGCATCAGCGACGTATCCTCTTAAGAATAAATACCATGAAATATTGTACCTTTATAACTAGGTCTCAATAAATTCAAGTCACCTCATTTTTATGCGTTTAAGAAGTTCAATGGAAGGAGAAACCGAAATAAGTGCGAAGAAAAGAAATTGACGTAGTAAAAAAAACGATAAACATTGTAAACGATATTTTAGATTATTTAATGTAAACAATGAAGGAATTGTTGGTGATAGGACTCTTTGGCCGCTTGTATGTATTCATGTGAATAATTCCTTTCGAATTATAGAACACGAATGGAATGAATGAATGAATAGTCAACCCACATCAACAACAAATAACTCTACAAACCAATGTTGATTTAATGGTATGCAACGGAGGTGGTCGAAGATCAACAACATCGCATATGTCTAGTTAAACACTTCGACTTTTGGTCTCAAGAGTAAAACTCCTTATTCCTGAATGTTAATGCATTTTTTTTTTCACAATGGAATCCATAAATACATTTCGAAACTCTGTATAATGATAATGAAATTATATTTCGGATTTCTTGTAAATAGCAAGAAGGCTGGGAAAATGAGAAGATGAAATTTATATGGAAATCATTAAATTGAGTTAAAAAATTGCAAAAAGTATGTGAAATATATATATTTCTCAAATAAAACGATTTTTTAAAGATAAAAAGCCCATGCTCATGCTTATCGCACGAACGCACAACAATAATCCTCGATAATCAAAGAATTGGCTACAGCCACTTGTGAGGTATGTTTATCTCTGGATTATAACACATGCTATTTGACCACAAATGCATGAACCCATCAAAGTCTTGGCAAAACGTCTTGAAGAAATTCGATACCATGAATTCCACGAAAGATTGGAAAAAAATGTGAAACATGAACACAGAACGGAAGATGGCCTGAGGTAAATTGAATTTTGGGGCGACATCAAGTGGTACACGTCTTTCGAATTTTCAATATTCTCTAGTCAATGAAGAGGAATGACTGCAATTTTCATTTCAACAGAAACATGCAATGGGATGATCACAAATGAATGAAATATGATTTCCAATCAGTTTCTTTATGTTAGAGGCAAACGAATTTTTCCCTACGCAAGCGAAAAAAAGATATTATTAGTTGAATAGCAATAACAATAAACACCCTTTTTCATATTCGCTCTCATACCATCATAATGTAATAAATAAAAATCGGAGCGATGAATTTGGCATCAGCCTCGTAACGGACCATATACCAAATGTATGGTTTTTTCTTCTTCTGCAAGAACACAACGATGAGCACTTGTATGTGTGTGTGTATGAGTTTCGCTTAGTTGGTGTTTGACATTTTGATTCATAGATCCCTTCACGCCAGGTTCCTTGGTTCGATGCCGAAATTCACCATGTTCCCATTGTATGTGTATGTTATGGGTAATAAACTCAAATTACTATTGGTAGTGCACCACATCGACATATATTCAGAGTTTCTGTTTTACTGTGTACTGCTGATTCAATGAAAATGTGCCTTTTTTGATCGAGGGAGTCCTCCTTTTCTCTCATTTCTCAACCTATTTTTACACAATTTGCACATCATTTTTTAGTTACGACTTTTCCATAACT